GGAGGAGGAGGAGGAGGATGAGGAGGAGGAGGAGGAGGAGGAGGAGGAGGAGGAGGAGGAGGAGAGGATGAGGAGGCGGACAAGGAGGGAGAGAAAGAGGGAGGGAGGGAGGGAGGGAGGGAGGGAGCGAGAAGCAGAAAAGTCAGACTATCTGTGCCGGCAATCAGTCAGCAACTTACATGAACGTCCACTTCCACTTTGCTGTCCATCGTCTTCTTCAGAGCCGCAGCATCTGCCTGCTCTTGCGCATTCGTCGTGAAGCCATCGTCTGCCTCGGGCGCTGCCTCCCCACCCGCTAGTCGCATGCAGAGGTCCAGTGGTGACCTGGCACGGCAAGTGCTCGACGTCGGACGAGCAGCGAGAGCGCGCTCGCTCTGCGTGACAAGCCATGAGAAGCCATGCTGCCTGGTGCTGCTGGATAGCCAGCTGGACATCGAGGACAAGCTCCTGGACATTGCTGCATGGGGGCTGAGCAGCGACTTGAGAGGGTCCGTGTGAAGTAGGGGAGTGGAGCTGAATGGTACAAACAGAAGGGAAGGTGACGAGGAGGACGAGGACGATGGCGATGACGAGGAGGGTAGAGCAGAGCAGGAGGAGAGCGAGAGCTTGAGCAACATGCATGTCACAAGCTGCGCCATCGACCCGTTCAGCTGCTGCTTCCGCAGCCCCTGCATGATCGCCTGGTACCTACAATTTGAGTGAAGGTACCAACCCCGCATGGCCGGGCGGGCCGGCCCGGCCCACCGTGGCCCCCGGCCCGGTACTGCCGCGGCTGTGCCCGGCCGGTGCGCGGCGCGGCGGCCCGGCTGCGCGGCGGCCGGGCCCGGACTCTCCGCTGAGTGAGGATCGGACTTCTGTGCACCGTGACTGTAATGATGCCAGTGAAACGGTCACATGTCTTTGAGTAAAGTTGTTCAATCTGAGTGACTGGTCACTTGAAAGTTTTGACAATCTGGCCGGGCAGTCGGCGACCGTCACGAGTCAGCCGCTGATCATGAGCCTCGGACTCAGCCTGCCAGGACGGTACTAACTAGTAGTCCGATTCACTGGCAGCGGCCGCCATGCCGTCACTGAGTCATGCGGCAGTGCCGCAGTGCGTGCGCCGCGGCCACTGCAGGCGGCCTGAGGGCCCTGAACTTGGCACACAGCGGCAGTTCGGTCCGATCACAGTGCAGTGCCGGGTCCGACCCGGTGACAGTGGCAAACCGTGACACTCCGTCACAGCCTGGCCCGGGTACTCACTGTCAGAACTGCCACTGGTCCTGTACAAACTTTTACTCAAAGTTAAGTTAAAGATAAAAGTACGAGCATCTTGTTTTAAACTCTACCAGCACTGCATACTGGGACAAAATTGATTTAAGGTTACAATGTTTTTGAGTTTTAAGTAGTCGCAGACGAAGAAGGGAGAGGAGGGGGTAGGGGTGGTACATTTTGGGTGGGTCCCTGGGGCCCGCAGCCTTCCGACAAGAAAAACTCCGAAGGTGAAGTTCCGAAATTCCGAAGCCGAAGGCCCGGGGTGGGGTGGGGTCCGGCGTATGTGAGGCTGTCTTCAAGGCCCGGGGGTGGGTTGATCCGGAAAGGGTCTACCACCTCAGTACCCTCGAGATGGTGGGTCGTTCCTGGGGTAGGGTCAGCACATCTCCACTGTAAGAACCCGTACTGTACATATGAGCTCGGAGGGATTCTGAGATTACTGGGGGTGGGGTCCCTACAGGCGTACGGCCGGGCAAAGTAAGATCTGGACAGCAGAATTTTAAAAAGTCATAAAACTGCCATATAGTCTTTGGTACAAAGTTTGACATTTAGAAAGTTGTATATTTAAAACCTTCATTCCTCAGAATGTTTGTACCAAAAATCTTTAATATGTAGTTATAAAAAGTACCGTTCAGTATCAGTTCAAAAACTATTTTCAGTCTCCTTACAACCATTTGAAAGGTAGACGGAATGCCGAGCCGGGATCCGAGGAGCAGGACCAGCCGTAGGAGTAGGAGGAGGAGGAGGGCCAGTGGTAGGAGTAGGAGTAGGAGTAGGAGTAGGAGTAGGAGAAGGAGGAGGAGGAGTAGGAGGAGGAGGACTTAAGGAGGGAGCAGGGGTTTAGGAAAGGGAAATCGAGGAGGAACTTGAGGTCGAATCGGGAGCACTGCGGCAAGAGGAGACTGAGAGGCAGGCGGAGGGATGGCTTAACAGGACTGGAATTCGGCAAGATCAAGTGGACTTGATAGCAAGAGACCTCCCGAGGAACAGAAAGAGGTGATGTTTGCAGTCCATGGACGGAGAATGGATGATCTCAAGTTTGAAGAATAGAGGCAAGAACAGGGGAGATGTATCAGAATGGCAGGGTTAGTCAGTTTCTTGTTCTGAAATGGTAAGGGATGAGTTTGTTGCAAGGCTGATGCTAAAGTTTCGAGACAAGTTGAGTCGCAAGTCGAAGAGTTTGCACAGAGTGTTTCTTTGATGTTCCGATCAAAGCTGAAGGAGATGAGATACAGGGTGAAGGTGAATAGGTGGAGAGGTGGCAGGAGATATCAGCAAGTGCTCTCGTGGATGGGGAGGACGAAAGCAGAGTGAGGATCCGCGTCAAAGCAGCACACGATCTGTTGTAGTCAGGCTGAAGATGTGAACTTGGGACGATGAAGATAGGGCGGGGTGTTGAGGACCTGCAGTTGGTGTAGGTGCGGTTTCATGCCGATGAACGTGCCGGGCTACATGCATGAAGAGAATCAGAGCATTCCAGCAGACATGTACATAAGTGAGACTGGTACAGGAACAAGAGCCCTTGCTCTCACTTTGACTCGTGCTGCCCTCCAGCTGGTCTCGGTCACTCGGACCTCGTCTCACAGGTACTTGCGATGTGATGTGATGTAATGCAATAAGATAAGATGCCACGTGATCTCATGTGATGCGATGCGATGTACCTCCATTCCTCTGGTCGTTTCTTGTGTTGGCTGATTTTCTTTCCGTCAGTCTGCAAACAGCTTTTACCTGAGTCCCAACCAAGCTTCCATGGCGGGTGAAGTTCCTGTCCTGCCTTGCCCTGCCCCCTCCTCTCCTCACCTCCTCGCGCATACCTGTCCGCGTCTGAGCACTTCACTCTGTCACTTTTTTCTTCTTTCCAGCTTCTGCCCCCTACGAAGAACGAACGCTCGAACGGTTTCTCACCTCCTTCCCTCTTCACTAGGTCACTGATGTGCAGGTTGCCCAGGCAGAGCGTAGCTGCTTTGTTTGAGGTACAAGAGGAAGCCTATCCTGCTGCTGCTGCTGCTGCTGCTGCTGCTGCTGCTGCTGCTGCTGCTGCTGCTGCTGCTGCTGCTGCTGCTGCTGCTGCTGCTGCTGCTGCTGCTGCTGCTGCTGCTGCTGCTGCTTTTCACATGTCCCTCTCTCTCACCTCCATCATGTGCTTGTTTCTGCTCAAGCTCTTCACGCCCTCGTCTCTTGTTCTCTGTCCTTGTCATGTTCTACCCGCGCGTGATTGTTAAGACGAAGGCGCATGTCGTTCAGAACAAGCGAGCAAGCCTGGAGCGTGAGATGACGAGATCGCCGAGAGGGTCGGAAGTGCGGGAGGACAGAGCCGAAGAACTGCTCAAGGCGATCCTCGACTGCGTTCACTCAGACCTGCTGTGTGTGCGGAAAGGTCTATACGAGGTTGGAAGAAGATTCAGTACCAAGTCGACGGTGAGAGAAAGAGCAGATGTTGATGATAACTGAGATGATGATGACGATGATAGAGATGATGATGATGATGATGATGATGATGATGATGATGATGATGATGATGATGATGATTTAGATGATAACGATGAAGATGATGATAACGATGATGGAGATGATGATAATGACACGGTAATGAGACTTGCGCAGGTTGGCCTCATGTTATCTTCAACAGTCGTTGAGAACCTTCTCATTGGCTCTCCCGCGCTTTCATCTCGCGAGATCTCCAAGGGCGACAGGATCGTCAAGGTCGATGGGATTGAAGTCAGCGAAGACAACGTGCATGAGGCGCTCATAGGATCCGATCTGCCGGGTGAGAGCAGGAGGAGCAGGACTCCTCAGTAGGAGCGGGAGCAGGAGCAGGAGTGGGAGCGGGAGCGGGAGCAGGAGCAGAAGGAGGAGGAGGAGGAGGAAGAGGAGGAGGAGATGTAATTCTGGCAGTGGAGGAGGAGAAGTTGGGGTCTAGTTGGAGTTAGAGTGGGAGGAAGAGGAAGAGGAAGACAGGAAATGAAGGAGAATGAAGGATGCTGGTGGTGGAAGGACGTCAAGGAGGGAGGAGGAGAGCCGAGGGAGGAATTCGAATGAATATCATTGGGACAGGAGGATTCAATGTGTAATGATGACGCTGATTTGCAGGATCGTTTGTTCACCTCACTTTACAAACCAAAGACAATGTGAGTTATTGTGTTGTGGTCGCGGTAGTGGTGGTGGTGGTGGTGATGATGATGATGATGGAGATGGAGATGATGGAGATGGAGATGATGATGATGATGATGATGGAGATGGAGAAGATGATGATGGAGTTGAGATCATTATGTCACGACAATATTTTTGATTTCACTGGTTTGCAGAGGACCAAAGAAGTTCTTCTATCCAGAATGTCAACACAGAAGTTGTCAAGGAGGAAACAAATGTTTGAGTTTCTGACCACGTGAGTTTTCCCTGCTCCTGCACCAGCTCTATCACAAACCATGGTGTTATACACCTCCTTTATCTGATTTCTTCCTCCTCCTCCTCCTCCTCCTCCTCCTCCTCCTCCTCCTCCTCCTCCTCCTCCTCCTCCTCCTCCTTTCACTCTCTCCTCGCAGTATGAAGGAGATCGCTCTCCAGACGGGCCTCGGGCAGGTCGACCAGGTGGAGGAGGCGGTGAGATTGTGGAACACGAGCATAGAGGAGGAGGACGAGGCCTTCAGTGAGATCGTCCGCAACCTCTCCGTCCTCCGCAAGGACGTCAAGGTACTTGTCGACGAGCTCCGGGCTGGACTCCACCAGGGCAGGAGGTCGAGCGGTGGGGAGCTGGACGTGGACCTGGGGAGGATGGAGAGAGAGCAGCTGGCGAGTGAGCTGAGGAGACTCAAGCAGGAGAAGGTCAATGCCGACCAGAAGGTACTGCCCTGTTGTTCTCCTCTACTTCCTCCTCCCTGTGCTGCTAGTGCTGCCGCTGCCACTGCTGGTGCTAGTCCTCCTCCTCCTTCTCCTCCTTCTCCTCCTCCTCCTCCTCCTCCCTGTCCTCGCTACCTACCTGACGTACTTGCATCAGGCAAAGCAGGAAGAGTCTCTGCGGGTTCAGGCAGAGCAGGCGTTGGCTTCCTTGATGAGTCCGGGGACCCGAGAAGACATGGGGACTCTCAGAGCAGATCTCAACAACCTCCAGCTAGCAAACTCCGAGAAGGTCTGCTGCTGCTGCTGCTGCTGCTGCTGCTGCTGCTGCTGCTGCTGCTGCTCTTCTTGTCAGGCCCTCCTTTTTTCCTCTACATCTCCTTTCCTGCTAACCTCCCCCCTCCCCCTCCTCCCCCCCTTCTTGTTCTTCACTTCTAGTTTCTCCTCCTCCACCACCACCACGCCCTCTTCTCGTCCACTTCCTTTTCCAATGCTCCTCCTCCTCTGCTCTACCTGCTCCTCCTCTGCTCTACCTGCTCCTCCTCTGCTCTACCTGCTCCTCCTCTGCTCTACCTGCTCCTCCTCTGCTCTACCTGCTCCTCCTCTGCTCTACCTGCTCCTCCTCTGCTCTACCTGCTCCTCCTCTGCTCTACCTGCTCCTCCTCCTCCTGCGTCCCGTCGCTCACGTGGCGTCTAGACCATGTCGCTCAAGATGGCCGAGGCGGACATGGAGATGATGCGATCGAATCACCGGCAGCAGATGAGCGCGTTGGAGCAGCAGCTGCTGACGCTCGGAAGAGAGAAGGTGCGAGGAGCGAGGGAGAGAGGGAGGAGGGAGGAGGGAGGGAGAGAGGGAAGAGGGAGGGAGATGAGACGGGAAGCGACGAGAAGAGGGAGGGAGGAAGAGGCAGGCAGGGAGGGAGGGAGACAGGGAGGAGGAGACGAGAAGAGAGGAGAGGAGGAGGGGGATGGACATTGTTGTCATTGCCCTGCAGGAACGATTGGAAGAAGAACTCCGTGGGGAGTGAAATTCTCATCGCCAGGAGGCGATCAATACTTCCAGCTGAAGATGCGGTGAGAGGCCATGGGCATGCAGGAGGATAAGTTAGACAAGATGATGATGGTTAGGAGGAAGAGGAGGGGGAGGAGGAGGGGAAGAGAGGAGGAGGAGGAGGAGGAGGAGGAGGAGGAGGATCGTTTGAGTTTCTGTCAGGTACGATAACCTAGAGGAGGAGCTTTCCCGCTCCCGCGCGGATCTCAACAAGGCGAAGGAGCTGGGATACAAGCTGGAGACTGAGAAGGAGGAGCTCGAAGGAGAGCTGAGGCGTGCACGGGTGAGGACGCAAAAAGGAGGAGGAAGAGGAGAGGGCCAGGAGAACGAGGAGGAAGAGGAGTAGAAGAGAAGTAGTAGAGGAAAGAAAGAGCAGGAGGATGGATGGGGTGGAGCAGGAGCAGGGAGAGGAAAAGGTGGGATATAGTGGGGAATGCTATGGAGCAGGCAGAGGAAGTTGAAGAGGAGGACGAGTACGAGCACGAGAAGGAGGAGGAGGAGGAGGACGAGAAGGAGGAGGAGCAGGAGCAGGAGCAGGAGCAGGAGCAGGAGCAGGAGCAGGAGCAGGAGCAGGAGCAGGAGCAGGAGCAGGAGCAGGAGCAGGAGCAGGAGCAGGAGCAGGAGCAGGAGCAGGAGCAGGAGGAGGAGGAGGAGCAGGGTGAGTTGAGATAAGATGTTTGTCAGGATGCGATGGATCGATCTTCTCTTGAGATTCAGAACCTCGAGAGGGAGATCGATAGTCTCAAGAGAGTCACCCAGGTAGAACAGCTGGACTCCTGCTGGGCTGCTGCTGACTTGACTCAGAAACTTCGGGAGACAAAAGATGACATGATCGTAGCTGAGTCATCAGTTGAGCAGGTGAAGGAGGGGAGGGGAGGGGAGGGGAGGGGAGGAGAGGAGAGGAGAGGAGAGGAGAGGAGAGCCGGGGGTGGGGGCGGGGGCGGGCAGGAGTTGCTGTTGACGGAGACGGTAGGAGCGAGACGAAGCGATCATGAGAGCTGCTCGAGCAGAAGCAGACGCGAAGAGACTGGCACCGATGGTTGACTCCCTTGCCTCCAAGAACCGCGAGCTCAAGGAAGAGATCGCAGAACAGGTTCGAACAGCCTTCCACCTCCTCCCATCCTCCTTCTCTTTCCTTCTTCCCCCTTCCCCCTTCCTCCTTCCTCCCTCCCTCCTCTCTCCCTCCTCATCATTCTTCAGATTCGCGTGCTCGCCACCAAGGACGCGGAGCTCCAGCAGGCGCGGCAGGACTATGAAGGCTGCCATTCTGACCTCGTGTCGCTGGAGATGGCGAGGAAGAGCACAATCAGCGAGCTTGAGCAGGTGAAAGAGGGAGGGACAACGACGAGACTCCAGAGGAGGGAGGGAGGGACAACGACGAGACTCCAGAGGAGGGAGGGAGGGACAACGACGAGACTCCAGAGGAGGGAGGGAGCAATCGAGTATGAGAGGTAGCACTGTAGCAGTTGAAGCGGACGAAGCAACCGTGAACGAGGAGGAGGAAGAGGAAGAGGACGAGGACGAGGACGAGGACGAGGACGAGGAGGAAAGATGAAAGGGACGAGGAGGAGGACGAGGAGGACGAGGAGGACGAGGACGAGGACGAGGACGAGGACGAGGACGAGGACGAGGACGAGGAGGAGGAGAGGCTTGACTGTGGATGTCTGATTCTTTTTCTTTCAGAAGTCAAAAGAACTCTGGCGGCTGGAGCAAGAAGTTCACCAACTGATGAATACGAGAGACGGTGAGAGCAGAGACGAGGAAGAGAAGGAGAGAGGACGAGCACGAGCACGAGCACGAGCACGAGCACGAGGAAGAAGGGGGAGAAAGAGGAGGAGGGAAGGACGAGGACAAGGAGCTTTAGGTTTGACTTTCCTTACCTCCAGATCTCAACAACAAAGTTGTCGAGCTGCGAGAAAAGATCGCGGCTGATGCAGCAGCGTACAAGATCGCCTTGTCAGAGATCGATGTGAGGGGATGAAGGAGGAGGAGAGGGGAGGGGAGGGGAGGAGGAGGAGAGGAGAGGAGAGAAGGGGAGGGGAGGGAGGGGAGGGGAGGGGAGGGAGGAGGTT